TTGGGGATTGTGACTTGGTCCGTCCCGATTGATGAATTTACCGCGTATTTGACTGAAACTTATTTGTTATCATCATGATTTAGGTTGATTGCCATATCTGGACTTCGTGCCAATTATTTGAACCCCTTCGGGGATGGTTGTTGATATTTCCTCACTGTTTTGATTTTATACTTGAACTCAGTCATGTATTTTCCACTGTTTTCAAAACTCAGCCAAGTTTATTTTACTATAACACTTGAAATGATATTTCCAACAATATTTTTGGGCTGAGCGTCATGTTTTACTGTTGCCCGCGGGGCTTATGTGATTTCTGACTGAGTAAGGCCGAGGGCCTGTGTTGTGAGGATACTTTTGGATCGGGCTGCACGCCGCAGCAGTGAGATACTGATTTGAATATGAGGCCGAGGGCCTGAGATATGTACGCCACGAGATGGCTTGATATTGCGCTTGGGCCGTAAGGGGCCCCTCCCGGAGTCTGCACACCCCCAGTGAGCGCCGTCGACGATAAATGGATCGGGCTGCACGCCGCAGCGATATATGGATCGGGCTGCACGCCGCAGTGGTACTGGTACTGTTCTATGTGTTTACTTTATTTCATTTGTCTGCCAGTCTCTGTTGTTTGTGTTACTTCATGCAATATCTACCTCATTGCCTGGCATTATTTGATAACGGAGTGTTGTGCCCGAGGGGCGGATTTCTGTGCTTATCTGCACTATTTGTCCTGCATTCATTTGCGTAACCGCTGAAAAAGTTATTTCCAAAAGAGGTTTAAATTGAGCCAAGATGTTTTTCTAAGGATTTCACAGCTTCACTGTTTTCTAAAAAGGGTTTTACACTGCTCTATACAGCATGACGGTTTGTTTTACGTGATTTCTTACTGCTCAGTTATTATTTACCTTTATTACTCACTGAGTTGGAGTTCTCACTTTACTCCCTGCACCTCGTGTGCAGATGCAGGTATTTATTCACCCGGTAGCGGGTTTTGGCTGATTGGAGGCAGAGCTATAGGAGTTTAGCGAGGTGACTGCCAGCGTTCGCAGCACCGCTTCTCTCTCTGTTGTTCATTATTCCTGTTCAGTGTATTTTTAGACCTTGTAGTTGTATTTACACTCTTATAGATGCTCGTGACTTGTGACACCCCGATTAGGGCTGTGTTGGGTTGTACTTCCACTAATTAATATTATTAAATCATATTTAGACTGCTTATTCATGTTTAACTATTTTTGAAAAGGCGATATGGGTTAGTTGGCTGGCCTTGTCTTCACAAGAGGCGCCATCACGACCAGAGCGGGGATTTGGGTCGTGACAATAGCCTAGGACTCCTATACGAGGAGCCCCTTGTACATTGTTTAACATCAACTCAAGACAAATTTTCTCCTTTTCTCTTTTCATCGAATACTCTTGACTTCTTTAGGATTCATCAAAAAATAGAAGCTTTTAATTTAAAACAGGGTAATTTTGCACCATCAGTTCCACAATGATCTAAGGGAAAAGTAGAAAAGCACAGAAGAAAATATTTGGTAAGTACTCAGTAAAGACTGAATCAAAAGTATAGAATTGTCACTTGGAAAGAAAACTGAAGAATTAATGTATCAACTTATAAAGCACCGAAGAAAGCAATACCAAAGTTCATGTCAATTAATCAACTAAGTATCTATCCCAAATCAAAAGTCAAGAATTCAGAGAAATTTCCTTGGGCTTACCTTAAGGGAAAATATGAACGACAAGTCATCTCTGCCTAAGTGCTCCTGAAGATAAAGGAAAAGTTAAAGTTAATTTCTATAAAGAAGAGAATTATCTGCTTTACTGCATAATCAAATAATATGATGCAAATGAGCATCAAGATTTCAAGCAGACTCGAAAAATAAATCTATTTTACTTTACCTGCCCATAAACCAGCTCATTTAGTTCACTAAATGATGGTGTCCTTTCCATTACATGTGCCTGGATTACAAAGTAAACGCACATGTATGGGATAATTCTTAGAAGTAGAATGCCTTGAGTTATACGCTGATGATGAAAACACAATTAAAGTATTAGACCAGCAGAACTACACCTTAACACCTCCAGGAAAGCAGAATGCTGCCAAATCCTTCATGCGCATAGCTAACTTCTTTCCAGGAGGATACTTAAAGAGTACCTGCGAGAGAGGGGAAAGAAAAAGGAAGATAGTGTCAAGGCAAGAAAATATATCATACCATGTCACTGAGATATACATAAATTATTGGAGCCAAAATGGATATTTAAATACGTACCCACAGCGACAATGTATGACCAATCAAAGGTTTGATGAAATAAAAACTGGAATATTATAACTGGAAATATGTGAGGAACTGAATCCGAGCTTCAATATAATATTTGAAGAAATAAAAAAATATAATTGGAATATTAATGTTCAAGCCCGTGAACAAAATACCAACTTATAGGATCAAAAAATATGAATTGAAACTCATAATTAGAAGAAAGGAGGAATCAAGAAGTCTGAACATTTCTGCTTGGTCACAACCTGAAATCATATCTAAATTAGACTTATAACGCAGAATAGGTCTCGCCGTATTTTGGGAAAAGAAAAAGCATTTATTCAAATTTTTTCTCTATGACTAACACACCTAAGGGCTGTACTAATTTGTTAGTCATAGTGAATTAATTTGAGATGTGAAACAAAGTTGGCTTGAAAAATTTTACTATTATTTATGAGAAAGTTACCTCTTTTCAGAATAAGCAGAAATTGACTTGTACACCATAAATATGCAGATTCATGCAAGTAAACAAACCTGAGGTTCTAGGGATGGAACTGAAGGACCACAATTTGAAAGCATTCTGAAATCCACCATGTCAGATGTTTCTAACTGTACTTCCCATTTTTTCCTCCTGGCAAATGCATCCTCAACATCCTCAAGATTAGCATCGGGATGAAGACCGACGATAACAAAGTGCTCAAAAAGCGTGTCGGGCTCCTTATATTTCTTATAATCCTGCGCAGAACTTTCGTTTGTTTGCATCAAACATGATTCCCCAACTTCATGAGCAATCTAATGTGTAAGAGCTGAAGGCTAGTTTTCAAGCCAAAACAGTTGGGTAGAATTACTGAATCAGAAAAACCCATATAAATTTACTATTACTACCTCCCTAGAAGGGAATGTCCATAAGTGATATGTGCAAAGCATATAAGCTTGTCATCGATACTTCATCCTTGTGCATCAAAACGATGATGTTCAAGCCAACTTGCCCGCCTTGACTATTTTATCGAGAACCTGCATTTTCTGACCAGTACAGGTACCGGGTAACTCTGCTTACCAAATCTTAGGCAATTGGTAAGAGACCACCTACCTATTTGCTCGACTATGATTTGAATTCTTATTGACGTTTTCCTATCACAAAATACTCCTGTATAATCTTCCATTACAACCATCTTATTTTGCATCGGCATTATCACACTATTCTCCTAAAACATTTATTTTAAGGTACCGAAATCACATCTAATCTCATTTCAACTTCACTCTAGTTATGATGGCTTAATTTGACGTGTGTATTTCCGGTCTTACTTCTCATTATCCTAATACCCTTACTCGATAAAGTGCTATTCCATATTTCCAGTTTTTTATCCCAATATCTCCAGTCGAGACTTTTTATAAATCATCTTTAATAAACTTAACCTAATTTTATTCTTTACCCCGATTCCCTCTTGGTCATTCTAGTGTGTATTGTAGGACATAGAGCCGTCGCGGGAGTCTCTTCCTATGTGCATCAATTCATCTCATATTTTTTACATTTATATATATGCTTTAGAGTTTCAAATATACTCCAAGTCTCCAATCATGTTGTATTTTTTTGTTGAGAAAGCACATTAACTGAGACAAAATAAAAAATTTATAACTAAAAAAAGGAACATAGAACTGTCTATCTCAAAATTCCACACATTATCTTCCATGTTGCCTCGAAAAGGTTGTTCAATGAAAAAGCATATTAAATTTATAGTTAAAAAAAAGTCATAAACTGAATTGCAAGCAACAAGGATTCGAATATGAAAGCAGCATACCGAGGTTTTGGAGTGAAGCTGATACCACTGTCGCTTTTGATTAGCCAAAACCTCAGGATTAAACGATAAGAATGAGCAGTCTTCTTGTGAAGTAGTACCCCAATTACGCAAAGCCCTTTGCATTTGAGACTTCCATTTTGTAAAATTACTGCTCCCACTTCTATGAATAGAAGAAGTCACTATCTCACTACGACTTCTTCTATGTCCAACAACCCCAGTACTTGGTGAAAATCTCGAACTACTACTTGAGTAAACGTTTTGTAACGCCTCGCCAGCGACTCTTACTGCTTCCTCAGAGATTTGCTGTAATACCCTGTAGGGTGATGATGGCAACTCTTCTTGCCCATTGCCTTCTTTCATATTAATTTCCTTTACTATAAAAACTCCACAATAAGCAAACAACAACTGCGCCTCAGTCCCAAATAAGTTGGGGTACGCTATATGAATCCGAGTTTCTCCATTTAAGCATTTTTCCCATTTTTCCCAAACAACTCCCAAGTATCAATTCATACCCTTCTTCTGTCACATTATTTGATGGAGGGTTTCAATACATTCTTGAAAATTACAGCCAAACTGAACTAACCCATCAAATATATTTTCTCAATTTGAAGGAAGTTTGAATCTTTATTCACTGAACATTACCAACAATACCCTTTTCCATCACACCATTCCGTGGAGAATTCCAATGCAAACTTGAAATTTACAGCCAAATTAAACGTGACCCGCCAAGAATCTTCACCCAATTTGAAGAAAGTTTGAATCTTTATTCACTGAACATTACCAAAATAAGACCAAAACGCTGATTCTTGGAACCTTAAGCAAAATGTGTTGTACCCTGTGATTGAGAACAAAGGGGGGAAATAAGGAGAAAAAAGGTCAGAATCACAAATATATGAAAATTAAACTCCAATTTTGTATTTAAAAAATGTCTTTCCTTCAAAAACTATAGCCACGCGATCGAATAAGAAATCTGAGGAACACCCAAATTAGATACAATGTGGGAAAAAACATACTACAAGAGAAATGAGAGTTACGTCTAAAATTGCTGAATCATAATAATAAATAAAGTGAATTAGTGCAACAATCTTGGATTCTGGAAAACATGTCGGGACAGAAAAAGCAAAAAAAAAAAAAAAAAACGAAAAAAGAAAGAAGATGANAAAAAAAAAAAAAAAAAAAAAAAAAAAAAAAAAAAAAAAAAAAAAAAAAAAAGAAGAAAGATGTGATGTTTTGTTACCTAGAACAAGAAATGTGATCGTGGTTGGTTTTTAGCACTTGTACGATGTGGTTTTTTTAAGGCAAGAGGTTATCTGTGTCGTAATNGTGAGGCCGGGGGGGGGGGGGTCGGTTGCCGGAGGAGAGAGCGAGGAGAAGGAGAGAGTTGCCGAGAATAACGGTGGGGGAGCATGCAGAATGAGCATTGTTTTTCATAGGATCAAATCACCGTTATTTTTCATACTAATGAAGAGGAAAGTCTTCTGGCTATTCTTGACCACGGATTTTTACCACGGTAAATTCTTGTCAGCAAATCTCATTTAACCAAAGTTTGTCGTTTTCAATGACAATACAAACAACTTTAATCTTTTATGTTTATCAAAATTGAAATAATTTTTAATCTCTTTTACACATGAAAGTAAGTTATATTTCGCTCTCGTTTGGCCATAGAATTTGGGTTTTCAAATTTTATTTTCAAAAATTTTTTGTTTATAGATTTTGAAAACAAAATATTCAAATCTGAAAAAAAAAAAAAAAGAAACTTTAGAGTAGTTTTTGAAGTTTTTATTCACAAAATTTCAAATTCTTTTCGAATAAAATGCATGTCCAAACACAATTTCAACTTTTAAAAAATAATTTTCCATCTCATCTTTAAAAACTCATTTTTTTCAAGTTTCAACCAAAGCTATGTCTAAACGCTAACTTCATTAAATGACTCGTAAGGAGTCTGTGAATAGAGGCAGATGTATCATAAGAATAGTACGTTCAGTACTTTTGATGTTGGGCGAAACTTTTTACTAAAATTACCAAAAATAATGTATATAAACTCATAAATTTAAATGGATGCTATTATGAAACTTTGTATTATCACGAAAGACATGTACTCTACTTACATGTGATGTACGTCAATAAAAAAACTCAGCATATAATAAATCTAAAGAGATTTTTAAACAACTTATTGAATTTGGACCGGGAGCCATATAACTTTTAAGTAGAAATGACACCACGTAGCGACTTTAAATGGACGCTATTTAGAAATTAGCAATTGCATTCTGAATTTTAGTTTTTCAGTTCAATTTTTTTGGACAAAAGTGTCTTAAATTATCCTGAAGTTAAGACTTTTAGTTTAATATTTCAGGACAAAATAAATAGTGGCTAATTTATAAATAACATCCCTGAAAATGATTGTCCATGCACTTACCCCAACTTTTCAGTAAAAATTGCACGGGGCGCCCTATTTGGTCGCCCCCATTTAACCTATACCTATTTTTTTAAAAACTTCTAACTTGTACCCACTTTTTAAACAATTTCAGCTCCCTTTCTCCTCCTTTTTTTTTCTTCTTCTCTCGTGGCCCTCTTGTGCAGTTTTTCTCTCTACTAGGTTTGCACCATATGGTAAACCCAACACTAAACAAAATTACATAGAATGTTTGTCAGTTTCTTTCTCACCTGGCGACATTTTTCATTTATACGCCTGCTTTATCACTGTTAGTCTAATAATCACGGGGCGAGAACAACATTAGCGTACCTGTCAACGCAGCGGAAGAATTGTTGAACTCACCACCGAAACAATTGCCCCAGACCGAACTTTGAATCACTAGGAAATAAAGTTAATCTTCCACCAATTAGATGCCCTTGCTTGTGTGTGCTTTTCGTTGGGAGAAGAAGAGATTGAGAGAAAATTCTTACGTTAGAGAAAAAACTTACGCATACTTGTTCTATGTTATCTCCTTCATATAAATAGACAGAGAAAATAGCGGTTGAGGAAGAAACCCACCACTCACCCACGTTCAGTTTAGTGGAGAGGTTGTGGTCTAGTGGTAACTTCCCTTAACCTCTCTCCCTTATCTCTCCTAACCGGGTCGGGTCAACCCACATGGAGCGACCCATGACCCATAATCCAACATCTCCCACTTCGCTCATAGTGGGCTAGACCGATGTCTTTGACACACTTTTCATACTAGCAAATAGTTGGTGCGACCTGCGAGCACAAAGAGCTTTAAAATTCCAAAACCAATTAAAGGTTGTACTAAAGCTCTATGTAGAAATCCAATCACATATGGAAAGGATTCACTACTAGCATGAGGATATTTATTACTCGCAATACCCCATACATCATTCGCTATTGCAGTAGCTACTTATTCGATCCCTCATCCTCGAAAGAGGCAAACTCGAGTTCTCATATAACATTGTATCCACAATTACACCCAATACCGTCATGGTAAGTGTAATGGTCGACCTATGAATACAAGTTAAATTACTAATTTTTTTAGTCGTCTTCCCTTTCAACTCGAATCTAGACATGCACTGCATCGCCGAATCACTCATGGCTATTAGTAACATGCTAAAGTAGCAACACTGATTGGCGCTTCAAGAAACATTAAAAGGTCAAAGGGTATTCCAATAAAAGTTAATGTAACTTCTTTGGGATCTCACATAATGAAGAAGCAGGGATTTATTCTTCCATTATCCCATTGGTCGATAGCGCACGTGGTATGAAACACATGTTACGATGTTCTCACCTTATATTGGCGCGTGTGTCTTATTATTTTAATCATCCAACACCGTACAGATCTTGGTCTAGACACCTTCAAGTGTCTAACCCGAGTTTCTCACTTCAATAATCCTCAAACCATCTTCTTAGAGAAACTCGTATCTGGCTTACAAAACAAGTCATAATCGAATAGTGAAATTCATAAGCTATCAAGAACGACCTCTACAAGTAAATATAACCTCACATTATCCAAGGTTATATTAGGTCTCATCTCTTCACGATTCTTAAAGTAAGAGGCAATTGCTCCTGTGAGAGAGCCAATCTCGCGACTTGTTCGACACACTTTATCAACAAAACATTCATCACATGCATACGAGATATAGCAAAATTCAAGAGTCAAATATTGATGAGCATAATATAATACTAAAGTCATATTACAATACATAAATATGTTCATATCCTTCGCAAACCTAGAGCCATAACATGTTTCTCAAACAGGTCCTAGATATCGCCTTTGTAAAAGGATCGGCTATCATGCTTTGCGTAGGAATGTACTGTAAATTTATCTCTCCACTTGCTACCATGTCTCTTACAAAGTTATACTTGATGTCAATGTGTTTGGTCTTGCTGTGATACTTAGGATCTTTTGTATATGCAATAGCCGCTTGGCTATCACAATATAGAGTCATGGCACCCTGAGAGTTCTTTGCAATATTCAAATGCTCAAAGAATCTCTTCAACCAAACAGCTTCTTGTACTGCAGACGCACAAGCCACGAACTCAGCTTCCATTGTTGAAAGGGCTGTGCAGGTTTGTTTCTTACTTTTCCATGATATAGCACCACCATTAAGTAAGAAGGCATAACCGGATGTTGATTTTCTATCATTCCGATCACCAGCCCAATCAGCATCTGTATATCCTCTCAAGTATAAATCATTTCCACTATAACATAGTGAATAATTTGCAGTTCCCTTCAGGTATCTGAAAATTCTCTTCGCAGCTTTCCAATGATCTCTTCCAGGATTGGATTGATACCTGCTAACCAGACCTACGGCATAACAAATGTCTGGGCGAGTACACATCATAGCGTACATCAAGCTCCCGACAGCACTTGAATATGGAACTCGAGACATGTCTTCTCTTTTATTTTCAGTCTTGGGACACATATCAAGGCTTAAAGTTTCACCTCTCGCTGTAGGAGTATCCATGGATTTGCAACTATTCATGCGAAAACGCTCCAAGATTTTCTTTATATAAGTTTCTTGAGATAGACTCAATAACTTTTTGGAACGGTCTCTTTGGATCTTAACTCCAAGGATATAGTCTGCCTCGCCCATATCTTTCATGTCAAAAGACTTTGAAAGCCATGACTTGACAGTTTTCAAATACTCCAAATTGTTTCCGGCCAATAAAATATCGTCCACATAAAGAGAAAGAATTACAAACATCACATTGGACTTCTTTACATAAATGCAATGGTCTTCATCGATCATGGTGAAATCATATGAGATCACCTCCTTGTGAAATCTCAAATACCATTGCCTTGAAGATTGCTTCAGGCCATAAATAGATCTTTTCAATTTATAGACCTTCTTTTCATGGCCTTTAACGATAAAGCGTACAGGTTGTTCCATGTAGATTTCTTCGTTTAGTTCTCCATTAAGAAAAGCTGTCTTCACGTCCATTTGATGTAATTCCAAATCCAAACGTGCAACAATGGCCAAAAGTAAGCGAATTGAGGTAAACTTCACAACTGGTGAAAATGTTTCCTCATAATCTATTCCGGCTTCTTGAGTAAAGCCTTCTGCCACCAATCGTGCCTTGTATCTTTCTATTGACCCATCCTCTTTGTGTTTAACTTTGAGAACCCATTTGTTCCCAATGGCTCTACGCCCAGGCGGAAGATCAACTATATCCCAGACTTTGTTGGTTTTCATGGACTCTAATTCTTCTTTCATTGCTTTCATCCACTCATCTTTTCCAGGGCTCGATAAAGCCTCAGTTACAGACTTTGGCTCATCCATTTCTGTGGGAGATACCAGGAAAATATAATCTTCAATTTCATAAGTACGTTTGGGTATATTTTTTCTGGCACTCTTTCGTAGTTGAAATTCAGGTTCGTCAGAAGGATTTTGGGATTGGGAGTTCCCACTCCCACTCCCACTCGGATCAAGAATAATATCTTGATCAATTTGGATATCAACTGTGTCAGAAGACACTTGCTGACTATCTGAGTTCAACATTTGATAAAGAGGCTCTCCATTCTTTACCTCGCCCTTCTTTGGAAAATCATTTTCCAAAAATGTGACATCTCGCGATTCAATCTCAGTAACACTTCCATCCTCTGATTCACCAACGAACACATACCCTTTGGAGTGTTCTGAATATCTTATAAAGATACATTTCTTGCCTTTTGGACCTAATTTACCAAACTTGCTAAAAGAATCTTTTACATATGCAGCACAACCCCAAGGTCGTAAATCCTTTAAGTTTGGTTTATGACCAGTCCATAGCTCATAAGGAGTGGAAGAAACTGATTTAGAAGGCGCTTTGTTCAATATGTGAGTTGCAGTCAATAACGCATCTACCCAAAAGGAGATAGGTAATTTGCCTGCGCCATCATGGACCTTATCATGTCCAGCAGTGTTCTATTCCTCCTTTCCGCTACACCATTTTGTTGAGGTGTGTATGGAAAAGTTAACTGTCTGGTGATTCCCTTTTCATTTCATAATCC